CGAGAGTTGGATGCTTAACCGAATGCACCACCCAGGAGACCCAATGGCTAAAGACTTTTGAAGTTGTACTCCTACATGATCCTCCAGAGCAAGATGACTGCCCTATTCCCTCTTATATATGAAGGGGCTGGTCTGTGACCCTCAGCCTGCCCCAAATGATTAAACTCTAATAATGGTCAGAATGTGTTAGGTCTCTGTGGATTCAGAGGAGGCAGCATAGAGAACGGAGGAGGCAGCCACGCTTCAGAGTCAAGTCTGGGCCCAAGTCCTGGCTTTGTCCTTTCTTAGTCGGTCATCTGGGCAGTTTGACCTACTTGAGCCTTAGTTTTCTCATCAAAAAAATGGGCATAACAGTTCTTGCCTAATAGGCTTGCAGTGGAATGCCTGTTACAGTGCCTGGCACATATAGAAAATACTCAGTAAATGGTAGCTATGAGCTCTAATTTGTCTTAGTGTCTGGGTCTTCTTCACACAGGGTAGAAGGTACAAGATGGTAGAGAAAGAGGGATTCTGGAGCTACCCTACCTGGCAGGTGAGTTTCCTTCTACTCTCCAACTTGAAAGTGCTGTGGATGAGTGCAGTGTGTTGGGATGCATGGCATTTCTGGAAACTTCTCAGTAAGAACGTGTGACGGGGGCACCTGGGTGGCTCAGTCGGTTAAGCGTCTGCCTTGGGCTCAGGTCATGATCCTGGGGACCCGAGATCGAGCTCCTCGTGGGGCTCCCTGCTCAGCAAGGAGTCTGCTTCTCCCTCTCCCTCTACCCTTCCCCCCCGCTCTTGTTCTCTCTCTCAAATAAATAAATAAAATATTAAAAAAAAAAAAAAAAGAACAACGTGACAGACAGAACCTATTGGGGGTGGTGAGAATTGAACCCAGCTGGTTGTACTCACACCCAGTAGCATCAAAGTCTGGCCCGGGACAAGACTGCTTCTTCCCAGGCACTACTATATGTTAACTATTAAACACTTCTGAGTAGTCAGAAGAACAGCAGTAGCCGCTGCCTACCAAATGCCTACTATGTGCCAAGGGGGTTTCCATTCATCATTTCATTTAATTAACGCCATAACATTTCGAGGTGGGTGTTTTTATTCCCTTCATGGGAAGAGAAAACTGAAGCTCACTGAGATTGAATAACTGACCTGAAGTCACATAGCTTGAAAGTTAACAGAGCTGAGATTTGCCCTTTTTTTGAGAGAGAGAGAGAATGAGAGCGGGGTGGGGGGCAGAGGAAGAGGGAGAGGGAGAATCTTAAGCAGGCTCCACGCCCAGCGCAGAGCCCGACCCGGGGCTTGATCTCACAACCCTGAGATGGTGACCTGAGCCAAAATCAGAGTGGGATGCTTAACTGACTGTGCCACCCAGGCGCCCCAACAGAGCTGAGATTTGAACTGCAGGGTTTCTTTTACTCTTGAGCCCATGTAGTTAAGCAGTGATGCATGCCCACCTGTGAGGTAGTGTGACCATACCCGTGATGTAGACAAGGAAGCTGAGGCTCAGAGAAGTGAAATAACTCAGCAGAAACAGATAAATGGCTGGAAAATGGGAGAGCCCGACATTGTCCTTGGGATGGTCTAATTCTGACGTATACATGTTCTCCATTAGACTAGACTCCCTGTCAAGGAGGGTCACTGGACCCATTTTACAGATGAGGACGCTGAGGAGCCGAGAGAAAAAGCAAAGGCTCATGGAAGGAGACTTGGCAGGGGAGGGGAAGTCTCTGAGTGTGATGGGGCCCTGGCAGAGGTATCCCTAAGCAGGATCAGGCTGGGTCCCCAGCCCAGTTCTCTCCCTAGACATTTGCAGGGCAGATTAGAAGGAAATGACTGTCAGAAGCAGAAGTGAAGGCAGAAAGCCCAAGAGAGTATGGAAGACCCAGAGAACCCGGCGACACTTTGCTCCTGCGGGTGAGGGTATGGCGTATGCTGCTGCTTTTGTAATACCACTTGCAAGTGCCATCTCATGATTTCTTGTCACCTTCCCGTGTCACTACCCAGCTGTGAGTCCCTGCGGAAGTGGACAGGGCAGAGGGCCATGGGACCAGCCTCCCCAGTTCACAGTGCCCAGTGGTAGAAGCCTTGCTTCTGCTCCTGCAGAATTGTCTGCAGGGCCAGGGGTGGGCTGGGACCAGACTGGATGGTGGGGAGCAGAGCAGGGATCTGCCTCTTCTGCCCAGATGTGGAGGAAGCTCACCCAATCCTGGAGAAAAAGCTGACAAAATGAGGGGGAAAAAAGGAAACTAGAGTAAAAGACACTGAGCCTCCCAGAGACTTAGCAGCTAAGGTGGGGCAATGGCCACGCTCAGGGGACCAGGAAATCACACTGAACTAGAAACAAGGTTTGAAGTGACCTATTAATCCGCCCCTACAGAATCCTTCATGCCCACCTCCCCTGTGGTTTAGAGGGTGAGCCGGAGCCCTCCTCCCTAGGGACCCAGAGAAGCTCACACGAGTGTCCAAAGCAAGGCACAATGCAATCTCCCTTCCCTGCCCTGGAGAGGTGGGCTTCTCAGCTCTCTCCCTGTGTCACCATGTAGATCAGGCACCATCTGGCAACCTCCAATTCTCCTTCTTCTTCTTCTTCTTCTTCTTCTTCTTCTTCTTCTTCTTCTAACCACTCTCTTGTTTGGGGCAGAAAGGATGGCAAGTTTGCGCTTGTCCCCCAGCCCTATACATAATTGGTGGCAGCAGGCAAAGCAGCTTCAAGGGGAGGGGTTTGCCAATGGCATGAAGGAGGGAGGGAGTCCTAGAGTGACAGAGCTGGAAGGGACCTGGGAGATCACTTGACCGAAACTTTTGTGGCCTCCACACCATTCCTATGATCTGTGTGCTTCCATCCCTACCATCATCTCTCCTGCCAAGCAGGAGTTCTCAAGACCTCCTCCCCCAGGTTTCCTAAGGGCACTGTCTCCTGCCTCCTTTCCACTAAGGAGCTAATCCACCCTCTTGTTTTCTAGATAACACTGAGGCTCATTGAGATGTGACTTGCCCAAAGGCAATCTTCGTTTCAGGATAGAGCCAGAACAAAACCCCAAATGCTTGAGACTTTCCATCCTCCTACTCTTCTATTCAATCCCTAGGGAAGGAAGGGCTCAATTCTTCTCCCTGGGGTCTCAGGAGACCTCTGACGTATCACACCTGTCACCTAGCTGATGTGGGCTGCCAGTGTCAAGGTTGTCTAAGAACGGAGTTATTTTCAGGATGATTCTGGTCATTTCCCTTCCTCCCGGGTATCCTGAGGGCTTTGTGAGGTTAGTCTGGGTTCCACTTGCCTCTTCCCTGAAAAAAAATTGGTTCTGAAGTGTAAGTAACTGCCTGGAACCTGGCATGGTCTCAGGCTGACTGAGCTCCACACTCCAAGGAAGCCCCTCACCGCCTTTTCAAGGGGTCTTTCCTCTAGGATGAAAGGAGAGAATCCACCCAGGAGGCAGTGTTCATGGTTCAGAGACACTGCTCTTTGTATACTTTTTGCCCTTATTTTTTGCAAATATCATTTATCTTTCCTCGCTGCCAGCAGTTGGAGATAAGAAGAGCTCGGAATGGACTGGTTGGGACCACATCTTGAAGCTGTGAGGGCAGGTTTGGAAAAGTGTGCTGCGCTGATCTTTGTGTCTGTATTTACACGCACAGGCATATTCCTATGGGTTAGCCTTTGCCCCTGTACTGAGTGCTTGAGAGTGTTTTATATGTGAGCCCACCTCTATATGGGCAGGGTGACTCAGTGGGCTACCTCCAAGGCCTTAACTGCAAGGGAGTCTACCCTGGAGCTGGCAGTTTGATCTGGGGGAAGGCTACCTTCTTCTTGGTCCTCAATTAAAGTGGACTCAGCACTAGGAAGGAGCACTGAGACCCGAGGGTGGCGGGGGGGAGCGGTGGAGGTAAGAGTTGGCAGGGCGCCCTTCGGTCCGAAGTCGGAGCCCCTCTCTGTTTTTCGAGGTCCAATGTGGCCGTGTCTCGCGTGTCCGGCTGTGTCGGGCGGGCGTGCCGGAGTGCCCGTGCGATCCCGTCCGTCCCAGCCTCCCCGACACCCCGAGCTCTCTTTGTCTCCTCGTGGAGGTGTGCGTGCAAACCTGCGTTGCACGGCCCTCATCTCGTGCGAGCGCCGGGGCGCACCCTAGCTCCCCCACTCTTCCCGCGGGGAGAGAGAAGGAGCCGGAGCCCGGTGCTGTTTGGTCTGGAGCCGAGCGGGGCTTGCATTGATCCATTGATTGTGCGCGGTCTGCGCCTGACCTCCCTGCTCCCGGGGAAGCCGTCTCCATGGAGACCGGGCCCGCTCCCCCAGCGCCGGATTGTAAATTCCTGCAGGCAGCGGCCCGGCAGCCTGGGGAGGGGGCCGCCGCGCCCGGGCGCGCAGGGGGAGCGGCCGCCGCGCCGAGGCCCCATTTGAAAGAAAAAAGGGCACGAAAAAGGAGGTGGTGGAGGAGGAGGGGGAGGAGGAAGAAAACGAAAAGGAGCGAGGAGAGGAGGAGAAAGAGGAGGAGGAGGAGGAGAAAGGCGAAGAAAAAGAGACGGAGCCTGAGAGACGGAGAAGGAGCGAGAGAGGAAGAAAGAGAGGCAGAAAGGGCGTGTTTCTGGCGCTGCGTTTCCCCTCCCCTTTCTCAGGTCCCTCGCTCGGGCTCTGCGCGCTCTCCCGCGGCAGCTCTCTCCGGGCGAAGCTGGGAATTGGGTGGGATTATACGGAGCGGCCCCGCCGCCGCCGCCGCTAGCAGAGCCGGGCTCGGAGAGGGCGGGGGTTCCCCTCCCTCATTGGCGCCGGGCGCCCCCCCAGCCTCGTCGCGCTCTCCGCCTCGCTCTCCCCGGCGTCGGGCCGGGAGAAGCCGGCAGCATCGCGAGCCTCCCGCCGAGGGCGCCGCGGTCCGCGCCCCGAGCCCGCAGCCCCCGGCCCGGCCCCGGCGGGGCGCCCCCTCCCCTCCCCCCTCCGGCGCGCGGGGGCCCGGCCGGCTTCCGCCCGTCCCGGGGCTGCGAGACCGGCCCCGCCCGCCCGGCCGCCGGTGGCTCCAGCCATGGGCTCGGGGCGCGTGCCCGGGCTCTGCCTGCTCGTCCTGCTGGTCCACGCCCGCGCCGCCCAGCACAGCAAAGCCGCGCAAGGTAAGGAAGGAGGGGCGCACGGCGGCGGGGGCTGCGGGGGCCCGAGGGCGGCGGGGGGGGGGGGCGCGACTTCCGGGGGGGCCGGGCGCTGGGGGGCGGCGCGCCGCTGTCAGAACCCAGCACCGTGCACCCGCACTCCGGCCGGGGACCTGACCTCTGTCTGGGCGCTGCGTCCCGGGCAAAAGGCTCGAGGAGCCAGGAGCGACGCGGAGGAGTGAGAAGTTTGGGGGTCCCTAGGCAGAAGTCGCCACGCACCTCAGAATTCTGCCCGACTTCATTGCCACCCCAGCATCTTCGAAAGACTTCTTGTCCTCCAAAAGTACGAGAGAGGATCTTCTCTTCTCTCAGACACTGCCAGAAACTTAAGCTGTGGCCTGGAGAGACGGAGAGAATGAAACTTTTCAGCCACGCCATGTATTTCTTCCCCTCACCCCCAACCCTCATGCAAAGTCAGACAAAATTTCCAAGTTGTTGTCCTATCAGTAGAAAAATGTTAAAGAAAAATAGGATCTTTTCTGGAAAGACCAGCTCGTCTCTCACTGGAGGGTAGGGGGCTGAAGAAGAGAAGAAAATTTCTGACTGGCTCCCAGCAAGAATGTCGCTTTCTGCCTCTTTGGGGGGAAATCTCTTTCGTCTTGCATGGCTTTCATTTCTTATCATAATATTTATTTATTAAGGCCTCGGGTTTCCAATTCCATTTAAATCCAGGTCAGAATTGCATTAAAATAACAAAGTAAAATTCCAGGCTGGGGAGCTCTGACAGATCCCTCTAGGAATTAAAGGGAGAGAGACAGGGAGGCCCTCCGGCCCCCATCCCTGACCCCAGGCTCATTGCTCGGCCAGTCCCAAGGCTTTGCTGGCAGAAACCAGGCTGGTGGGCTACAGTTCTCTTGGGGACAGCCTCCCCTCCCCCTTGACCTCTTGCTGCACCCTTCCCCCCATCATGTCCTCACCCAGGAAGAGATTTATATGGACAAAAAGAAAATTCCTCCTGGCAAGGCTTTGCGGAGGAGGATATGATTCTGCCTATTGTCCCAGGGGCTCCCGAAGCCAAGCTGGGGTGTGGAAGTGGCTGAGCCAGAAGGGAAAGTTGAACTTGGGAGTTGGGGAAGCCTGAGTCTCTGGCAGTCAGGTCGCTGTGTCCTGGAGCCTGAGTGCCTGGCTCTTAAGCTGCTTTTGTGTACTGGATGGGCTCCCACTCTGGTAAAAGGGAGGTGCTATATCAACGCCAGTCTCTTCTCCCAAATGCTGCCTCTTCAACTACCTCCTTCTTCCTCCAACCTGTCCTTTAGCAGAGCCCAAGGACTGGAGATCGCAGCTGTCACATACCAGACCCCAACCCCACCCCCTTCCAACCCCAAACTGCCTCTTCGCCAGTCCTGGTTCCAGACAGCCCACTAACACTGCCACCACCAACCCCCCCCAACCCCAGCCTGGAAGCAGCCCCTCTCCCACTGTGGATTTGCTTGTGTTTTCATAAACAAAGCTGGCTTTTGTAGTGTGTGCTGACTTACTCATAACATGGAATTAGCTAGGGAGTTTAGTCTGAAGGAAGGAACAGATTTCATTCAGTAATCTAGAGACAAGATAAGGGCCTCTTTCAAGTTGGAGCCAGTGTCTGTAGTGGCCTAGTGAGACTGGGGGGCTGGGGGCAAAAGGGGGAGCAAACAGTATATTCAGGGGATTCCCAGGGCTGATGGAGACTCTTAGAAGGGACAGGTGCGGGGGGGGGGGGCGCGGAATCAGCTCATCCTTCAGGGATGGAAGGATTCAAAATCCCTCCAAGGTGTTCTGGGGCTCCCTCTTTCATCAGACACCCTGCTGGGTGCTGTTGGGGGGGTGCAGCTAGATTGGAGGCCCCCTGCCCTCAAGGAACTTACATCCTCATAGTTTTGTTCATTACTTATATTCAGGCCACAGTCACTCGCCCTGACTGGGCCGCAGTTATCTGTGTTTCTTCCTTCCTTCTGATCCCTGAGTCTAGCCTGGCATGGACTCGAAGCCTGTCATTTCAGCTACATTTGACGCTGCTGTTCAGGAACTGTATCAACCTGGTCTGCCAGAGATTGCCTAACGACAGGTCTGTTGGGCTAGAGGGATGTCTCTGGACCCAAATCTGCAGGCCAATGCCCTGGGAAAGACAAGCACTGAACCGGGCAGGGCAGCCTTACCCCTAGATGGAGTGCTGTGGCCATCCCTCGCTCCCAGACATATCTCCTGGGTATCACCAAGGCCAGCAGGTGTGTCTTCAATGCCACGTGCTTATAATCGAAGCTCTAGTGGGTGTCTTTAAACTGCAAAGACTCTTGGCAAATATCTTGCGCAGTTATTATACCTCTGGGTATAGTGTGTGTGTGCGAGTGTGTGCGTGTGTGTGCGTGTTTGTGTACAGTTACTATACTTCAGGGCCTTTTTTCCAGAGATTCCATCCTTCCCCCCCAAGAACCAAAGTGGAAAGGGATAGGGAGGCAGGGAAGGACAAGGAAGGGAGCCCTGAGTGTGCAGGTGAGTGTGTGTGTGTGTGTGTGTGTGTGTGAGAGAGAGAGAGAGAGAGAGGTTCCCCGCCATCGCCCACGGGTGATACAGCTGGGTGTCTGTGTCTCTTGTGACTTGGTTATTAAGCCTGGATACGAAGGTTTTCGTGTCTTTGAGAACTGGCTGTGGATGAGTGGGTGGGTAAGCTTGTGTGACTGGGGGTGAGTGAGCATGAGGGTACAGGGTTTTGAGTGTTGTTCAAGTGCCTGTCTGTGTATTTTAAAGTAGACAGACTGGATAACCAAGATAATTGTTAACTTAAAAGCATTAATTTGCTTTGCTTTTTTTGGGGGGGGGGTGTGCAGCAGTGGTTAAAAAGACCTAATCCTTGCTTAAGGCTCAGGTTACAGCTGAATGAAAAGGTCTCCTGGCCTCCCGGGGAAAACTTGTCCCCAGGGCGGGCTCAGGGAGAGTCAGCCTGGCCGTTTAGTTTACCTGGTTGTTTTCTCTTCTCATTAGGGATAAAATGTTGATAAAGTCGTGTATTTAGAGTTCCCAAGTAACACCATCCCTGGGACTGAGAGCGTTCATCTGGTGGCAAACAGTGTCTCTCTGTCTCCGCGTGTCTCTCCGGGTCTCTGTCTGGGTGTATGTGTGTCTCTCTCTTTCTTTCCCCCACCCCTCTCTTCCTCTTTAATGTGGCTATTTCCTCTCCTCCCCGCTTCCCTGGGCTCCTGTGGCCAGCTCTTACAGTGAGGGGACTGTTCCTCCTAGCCCCTCCCTCCAAAATATGAAATGAAAACCATAACCGTGTCAGCGGGTGAGGGTGGCCCCGTGGGCAGCCGGCTATTGCCCGTGCCCCAGGCCACACTGGAGAGAGAGAGAGAGAGAGAGAGAGAGAGAGAGTCAGTCCCCACTCTTGGAGCCTGATCTTCAATCAGTTGCTTCTAAGCCTGTCTCCCCCCACCCCTCCATTTTTCCAGAAGGGTGGAGAAGGGGGATGGACTGCTTAGAAATTCCTCAGGAATCCCTTTGACCTCTCTTCTCTCAGTGACATGTCCCCTGGGGAGGTGGGGAAAGCCTGGGGCCAGGGGAACACTTCTCCACTTCTTACCCCTCATCTCCTTGAGTCTCTGCAGAGTGGAATGTGAGAGAGGGGAGCGGAAGACACCAAGGCCAGAATTACGACAGGCAGAGAAAGAAAGTTATCAGCCACCCCTAAATGAGATTGTTTTCTGAAACCTTCAGGAATCTGAGAGCATGAGAACCGGTTTGAGATGTGAGCGGCTGGGACCTGTTGTAAAAGGAGCCGGCCCTGGGTGTGAGTTTGGGAATGCGAGGTGTGCATTCACTGGGGCGTGCGAGCGTGCGTGTGCATGATTCAGGGTGTGTGTGTGTGTGTGTGTGTGTGTGTGTGTGTGTGTGTGTATCCCCCCCCCGCCCCGTGTGTGCGTGCGCAGTGCTCCGGTGAGAGGAAAAGGGAAGCAGGGCAATGTGCGTTTTGTTTTCGTTGGAGAAGTCAAGAAATGGAATGGCTTGGTCCAGTGCCTTGGATTGAGGGTGGGGGAAGGGAACGGGTAGTTTCAGACCCTCTTGCGAAGATGGAGGTGGAGGAGCTTGCTGCCTGAACTCACCCCAGTCCCTGCCCCCAGCTCTGGTCCCCGTGTGTCAGGGTGTGGGCCTCCCTTGACGTCCTGTACCCCTAGCACATGACCACTTCTAAGAAAGAGTCCCTGTCAGGGCTGGAAACTGCAGAGCTGCTCTGAGGCTGGCAGTGCCCGCAAGAGGCCCAGGCCTGGGGACAGCCTCTTCAGGTTCAGTTATAAGACAGCAGTCTGGAAACAGAGGGACGGCTGGGCCTTGGGCGGGGAGAAGTGATACAACGGCTAACTCGGGGATGTCTGAGGGGTAGAGATAGGCGCCTGGGTGAAGAGGGAACACAGGCCCTCCCCTCTCCCCATGGGCCCCTCTGTCACCAGACTGGCCACTTTCCTCCCACGCCCGCATACGGCCAGCTCCAAATGGCATGTGGTGGGGCGTTTGGTGCCAGTGGGTTGGTAGACGCGGAGCCGAGTTTTGGGGCCTTTGAGGAAATCATTGAAATTCCCTTCCTCACTTGTAAAATGGACTAGAGTATCAGGAGGGTCCCTCTCTGCTCTCAGATTCTGCACATCTCATTGAAATCCTTCCTGCTGGAAGGCAGAAAACACTATAGCAAGCCTCGGTCCTGCCCCCAGGCCTCTTTGGGCCTTCCCGCCCAACACCCAGGCCCTATGCTTCCTGAGCCCTCCTCTACTACTCCCTGCTCGAGTCTGTCATGGCTACTCCTCCTTTCTCCCCCCACCCCAGTTTCCTGGGGCCCCAGGTACCCAATTGCTCTGCATCCTTAAGTAGAGTCTCTCCCCCTGGAAAGAGCCCCTACAAAACAAGTGTGTTTCTGTGCGTGCATGTGTGCGTGAATGTGTGTGTATCCAGCCACTTTGGGTAAGGGAGCTGCAATGGTTGTGTTCTGGGAACTGAATACT